TTTAAATATTTTTTTATATAAAGAAACTTGTGACAGGTGAGTTGACGGTATCTAGGGTTACCACGTAATCTGTCATTGTTTAAAATTTAAAGTGAGCTCCGTTGCCGCTGATCGTTGTTTATATAAACAGTGTGTATAAACAATGTTTCTTTTTGCATTATAATGCTTTGGCATGACTTGGCAATCAGGCCGGTATTCCCAACATTTTAGTACGTTTAATACTTCAGGACCGGCTTTTGACATTTTATATTTATAAAAAATTACGAAAACTGTATATTTTTTTGAAAAAAAAATTATAAAAAACACTTTAAAATCGACCAAATTATTTTTTTTTAACAGTTTTTATCAATTTATAATCAGTAAATGGTTTTAAAATGAGAAAAATAATGTTCTTCTGTTATGCTTGGATCCACAATTTAAATCTAAAATATTTCGAAAACAAGAGCTAACCTAAAAAAGCGACTAGTATCATTGGATTTAGCGTATTTGAATTAGGTAATCCCCTTGGGTGCCCTGCTTGTTAGAAAAAAAAGTTTCCGATTCGAGCACAGTGTAATTATTGTCGTTTTTCGGAATGTGGTTTAGAACCTCGGATCCATCAGCAGCGCAGGTAAATGAAATAAATAGCAGACATAAAAAATAAGTGTTATTACACTAAATATATTTATAATTTATTTGTTCCTTTTCTTTTAAAACTTGAAAATGTTCCTCTAGGGTTTTATGATAATTTTTAAGTTTATTTTTTTAAGTTTAAAATTGTTGCTTAATTTATTAGTTTAGGATTATTAACTTCTACAGAGTACCTGTTTGTTTCCTATTTTTATCCGCTTTTATTAATTATTAATTTGTATACCAAAACGTTAATAAATATGTATGAATGTCATTTTAAATTCCATATACAGTGTGTCGCACTTAAGATGAAGACACCTCCATATTTTCGCTATTTGAAGGAATAAAGGTTTGAATTTTTTCACATTCATACATGTTGATGAGTCACATTTTTTAAGCTACTCAACTGAAATCTGAACTTTAAACTTGGCCTACTACAAATTCACAAACCGGGCCAGTTCTCGATATTTTGCTTCGCGTTAGAGATATCGAAAAAAGTTATTGGAAAAAGTTGTTCAGAATATTATTCTAACCCCATATACCAATTTTTATAACAAAATTCGCATTTTTAATTTTTTTTTATTTTGGTCCACACAAAATTATTACAAGTTCATTTTTTAGTTTGATAATAAGGGAGCCTTGGAAAGTAATAATTTGATACTAACTAGTGTTTATGACCGTTAAATAAATAATTAAAACAATTTTTGGAAATTACAAATCAATTATAATTTATTAAATTAAGGAAATGGTATAAAACAATAATAAAACTAATAAAAATAAATTAATTAGAAATGCGAATTTTGCTATGAAAATCGGTATACGAGGTTAGAATAATATTCTGAACAACTTTTTCTAATAATTTTTTTCGATATTTCTAACGCGAAGCAAAATATCGACAACTGGCCCCGTTTGTGAATTCGTAGTAGGCCAAGTTTAAAGTTCAGATTTCAGTTGAGTATCTTAAAATATGTGATCCACCAACATGTATGAATGTGAAAAAATTCAAATCTCTATTCCTTGAAATAGCGAAAATATGGGGGTGTCTTCATCTTAAATGCGACACACTGTATAAACAATCGAAATTCTTGAATTAAAGCATATTTATTTGACTAAAAACTTCATTTTTATGTGTGAAGTGGGCAAAAAAAGTCGAAAAAGTCAAAAAAGTAAAAAAAATTAAGTAGCCTGTTACTCTTCGAACCATGAAATGTCTATGATAAAAATCACGTCGATCCGTTGCTGCCTGAAAGGCAAACCACAATCACACATTTGCAAATACATTTATATTTATATTTTATATGAATGTATACATTCACCGGCGAAAAAACCTGCCACTACACCTTTTCCAGTTGATATTAAGAAAGTAGCAATTGATATTCAGAAAGCAGCAATTGATTTTCAGATATTGCAAATGAAATTCAGAAAATAGCAAATGTAATTCAGATATTTCAAATGATATTCAGAAAGTAGCTGATGTAATTCAGATATTGCAAATGATATTCATACAGTAGCAATTGATATTCAGAAATTACAAATAGTATTCAGACAGTAACAATTGTAATTCAGAATATGTCAATTGAAATTCAGAAATTAACAAATGATAACATTTTCATACTTTATTTTACTTATTTTCTAAAATCTCAATTTAATGTATTTCTTTGTATATTGCTTTGTTTCCATGGAATTGACAATAATAAACAAATTTATCACCATTTAAGTAGGTATATTTGTCATAATTGTCAACTTATTGCAAGTAAGGACCGAATTTTGTTCATTTGTACTTTATATAAATTTCATTTACTTAGTTAATAAAGATAACGTGTACTTTCATTCATCATCGATTTACTGTATGCAACCAACTTTTCCTGAAACAATTGCTGCGGCTAAATTACATTTGATTTAATCTGAAAAACAATTGCTACTTTCTGAATTACAATTGCAAGTTTCTGAAAATCAACTGTGTTATCTGAATTACAATTGCTACTTTCTTAAAATCAATTGTGTTATCTGAATTACATATGCTACTCTCTTAAAATCAATTGGAATAGCTGAATTACAATTCCTACTATCTGAATATCAACTGGAATAACTGAATTACAATTCCTACTTTCTGAATATCAACTGGAAAAGGTGTAGAAATTGGTAACAATTTTAATGTTGACTTCCTCGAAGGGTAAACCACTTTAAAATCTTAGAGACCAACGTTCAATTTTAGTCGATGTTTTGTTGTGATTTTTTTCCTTATCAGTCGATATCAATAAGGAAAACTTTCTTAATCAATGCTTAGCGACGCGTTGCGCATTACTTCCCTTGTTATTGTTATCCTTAGCCGTTAATTCGTAAGCGATTTTTAGTTTTAAAAAAATCAGTGGTTTACCCCGCGGATTTCCTTGCAAATGGCTTATTTGATTTTAATGATTTGATGTAAGTTGGCCCTTTAGTAACGATAAAATGGTAAAAAAAAATAAAATAAAATAAAAAATCATACATATAGTGTACTATATCCGAGGAGTTGGCTTTAAAACAGTGTATTTAAGCACATTTTAGGGGGGTTTTGGTAAAATGTAAGAGTAAAATAAAACTATAAAGATCATAGCTTGTTGGGATTTTCAAAAAAATCTTAAAAAAATTGTTTCTCACATTTCGAGGAGAGAGGTTAAACCCCCAAACTCCATGCGCAGACATAATAACTTGACTAAAAACAAATCTTAAAAAAAGTATATTTTTAATTAACATCCACTGTTACATATTTCAAGAAAAATTACTAAAATAAAAATCAAACTAAAAATTTCTACCATAGCATCGTTACAAAAAAGTCAATCTACAGTTAAAAAAAATCATCAAAATTAGATGAGCTGTTATCGAGGAAATCAACATTTAAATTGTTGCCAATTTATGGTGGCCGTTTTTTTGCCGGTGAAAGAAATAGAAAATTAAAATACGTTAATTTATATTTATTTTCCCACCGAATGTCAGTTTTTTGCATAAGTCAAAGCCGATGTTTGGTTAGGTTTATTAGCAGAAGCCTACTTTCTACGAAGAAAAGAAAACAAGAAAACAGTAACCATTGATCACAAAACACCAACTATTGATGCGCAGAACACTAATAAACTTTATATACAATCTCAATGGCATTAATGCCATTGAGATTGTACGAGCCCTAACCACATAATGTTCGGACACTTCATAATTTATACAGAAATTTTTTTCGTGAATACTATCTCAAAATTATTAGAAGTTATGAAAAATTCAGCTTATTTTGGCATATACCCCTCGAAGCGATTTTTATTTTTAAAAAGTTTACCTTTTATTTTTAGCTTTTAAAAAAAGGCAAACTTTTTAACTTTTTTTTGCATGAGTAAAAAAAGTTATAAATGGGCCCATTAAAAAGAACATAAAATATTATACAAACCCTGAAAATTTGGTAAAAATTGTATAAATAATAAGAAAGTTATAGCGATATATATATCTGCAAAATCTCCCGTTTCCTAAGAAAATTGCAAAAACTCTTTAAAAATAGCATTTTTAAATTACTTATACTTTTTTATAACTTATTTATTTTTTACCAAATTTTCAGGGTTTGTATAATATTTTATGCTCTTTTTAATGGGCCCATTTATAACTTTTTTTACTCATGGGTCATTCCACGTTACTCGGGGATTTTTGTCCCGCCCGTCACAATTAAAAATTGTGAGTAAAAACTACACGTTATAAAATTTATTTTAAAATATTGTTTATTATGCTTTTAATAAGTTATAAGCACAATAAAAATAATATTATAAAATATTAATTTAATAACTTGTGGCTTTTACTCACAATTTTTAATTGTGACGGGCGGGACAAAAATTACCGAGTAACGTGGAATGCCCCTCATGCAAAAAAAAGTTAAAAAGTTAGCCTTTTTTTAAAAGCTAAAAATAAAAGGTAAACTTTTTAAAAATAAAAATCGCTTCGAGGGGTATATGCCAAAATAAGCTGAATTTTTCATAACTTCTAATAATTTTGAGATAGTATTCACAAAAAAATTTCTGTATAAATTATGAAGTGTCCGAACATTATGTGGTTAGGGCTCGTATATAAAGTTTATTAGTGTTCTGACAATTGTCAGTGTACCATTTAAAATAATACAATCAGTTCAATTCACAACATAATAAAACATCACGGGTTACTTTGACAATAACAATAGTTAGTTTTGTAACATCAATGAGTAGTGTCAGGGACTGTAGTGATCAATATTCTGCACAATTATTATTTGGAATTGAAAATAGGCGAATTACTATTTTAAGCATGAATGGTGCATGTTTTATTTTCTCCGTAAACTAGGAAATTTACTAGGGCATTTACAGGCAGTCTGTTAATGTTTGTCCTCGGCTATATTGGCTCAATTTTAGGCCGAAGCCGAATGTTTGGCCTAAGCCGAAGATTCGGTCTGGCACTTAAATTAAAAATTTTAAACAAGTTTTATTATTTAACTTAATATTTAAGAGAACATTTTACAATAAGGTATAAATAAATATATGTAATATAAATATAAAAAATTACCATTGCTTTTAATTAATTAAATTAAATTAAAAATTTTGTTGTAGGTATTTAAAATTAACATTTTTTATTAAAATATAGATAAGACAATGGATATTCAATGTCAAGGGCAAACCCATATTATAATATAATATTATTGTTACTATGAATACTGTAATTACCTACAGATTAAATAGCATCAGTAACGTATTCTGGATAAACAATAATTATTATGCATAAATAAAAATAAATAATTGCACCTAAATAAAATTTTTATTTATTTTTAAAATATATATATATATACTTATATATTTTCTAAATATTTCTTTTGTTTATGTATGTAGTTAAGCGATATGGTTTGTAAAAAAACACTGTTCAGTGGTTTTGATTATAACATATATTTTTCTAATTAAACAGCGGAAACAGATTTGGAAAATATAATTTGTATCGTAATATTATAATTGGTGGAAAAGTTTTATGTTGAAACATTGAAATTTTCTAATTACATACATAATTTCATACATAATTTGTTGTATTAAAATAGTATATTCACGAGGATGAGATTTGCGTCTCGAGTCGCCAGACATAGTTAACCTCACTTTTTAGCAATTTTAAATGTTATTATAGTCGCCTTCTAATTTAAAACCCGGTTGGTTAAAATCACAGTGAATATTGAAATCGGCCAATCACTAATGCCTTACAATGTGAATAATTATTATTCCCGTTGTTAGGCCCGTTAGGCAGGGAATTTATAATGTTTATCAATATTTACAGAAAAAATAAGAGTGCGCTGATTTCAAAAATCATAATTTTGCTTTATAATAATTATTGCCTTTTGATCGCAAACATTCAAATTAGTAAATATTAGCAACAGGTTTTTAGTCACGGGCTAAAGTCAGCTTTGAGCTAGTTGACAGCTGCCAAATGTCATATAATCGGTAAAATAAAGTGCCCTTCTTGTGAAATAATACGAAATTGAAAACTATTGTATTATTTTAATACAAAAATAAAAAAATATTTAATAAGGTTTCTTTACGCCAATATTTAAAAAGTTTAAATGCACGTTTTTTACTTTTGATTTCGCCGGCAGCACGTCGTATATAAAACTGTGAGCAGTACCTAAACTAGATTTTATATAAAGCATCACAAATTTCGGGCGTAGACTCCACTGTGGAGTGCAACCTTAGCGGTTGCCACAGACAAATTAAACAATGAAAACATTTAAAAATTTTATCATTCTTCAGGGGTATGTATACCAACATAATAAAGACAATTTTATGACAACCGGACTCTCCAAACCCGTGAAATTTAAAAATTCCTGTTATTTTCTGAACACTCCTCGTATTATTGCCGAGCATATATTTCCCTGCCAAAGCGATAGCCATGGCCATAGACAAAAGAAAAGATTTTCCTTTTTTCCTTTCTCTATGGCCATGGCAGTATATTAAGTGCACACGGTGTGTCTGAACTAAGTATAAGTCACATAAAAATGCCGCCAAAAACTGATTGCAGTTTCTTGTTCGGGACCATTTGGTGACTTAAAAGTGATATTTACCAAAATCCTTGCTGCTCCTCTTTTCGAAATTTTTTGAAAATTCATGATTTTTTTTTTTAATTTTTGTTTATTTCAAAGTCTACCTTTGACGTCATGAGAGTACACATTTGTAAACCGATTTTTATAAAATTATAGTACATTATTGAGGAGACTTAAAGAATACTTTTTAATACTGTTCACATCATTTGATATATACAGGGTGAGCCAAAAATCGCTTATCGCTTTATCCCCATTTTTTTTTAGATATTTATACGCTTACCAGGTTACAAAATGGCATTCTTAATAACCTTTTAAGAAAAAATAAAATTTTAATAAAATTAAATAACTCAGAACATTTAAAATGTTGTTTAAGTTAGGCTTTTTAGTAGTTTTCAATTTTGAACGAAAAACTGGTTAAATTTTTTGATCGGCACTCTTTGGAGATTTAAAAACGATATTTATCAAAATTCTAACTGATTTTTTTTTAATTTGTAAAAAAAAATCATTTTTTTTTTTAATTATTTGTTTATCGCAAAGTCTACCTTTGCCAGAGTACACATTTGTACACCGATTTTTATTGATTGCAGTTTCTTGTTCGGGACCCTTTGGTTACTTTAAAATGATATTTACCAAAATCCTAGCTGCTCCTATTTTCGAAATTTTTTGAAAATTCTTAATTTTTATTTATCTTAAAGTCTACCTTTGACAGAGTACACATTTGTACACCGATTTTTATAATATTGGAGTATATTGTTAACGAGACTTGGAGAATACTGTTTTTATACTGAGCATTAGATTTATACAGGGTTAGCCAAAAATCACTTTTTAATATAGTAAAAAGCATAATGCACAAAAAAGATTTAGGTATATCCAGATTCTGGATTCTGGATTCCAGAAAATGTTATTTTATTTAATTTTATTCAAAATCAATTTTTCTTATAAAGTCCTAATAAGAATCCACTTTTGTAGCCTAATAAACATAAAAATATCTAAAAAAAACATTGCTTGGTATATTAGGGTGTCATTTTTGAGCAACTTTTTTTTCAACTAAAAAACAGGCTAAAAACTTTCAGGAAGGTGAAAAAAGAAGCCTCTAAAATTTTGAGCTCTAAATATTAACATTAAGTGGTGCCTGTTCCTAACTTTCCATTTTCCATTTAAATAACATGGAAAAAAAAAATTTTTTTTTCTAATTTTTGTAGCTTGACACTTGAGCATTGTAAAAACGAACTGAAAAATTATTCCGTTCTGAAGGTATTATATCTTAAAGTTGCCTTTAACATTTCGAATCGCGGCACGTTAGCGTGCCTCTAATAACTGTGTAATTTGAACGGTAATATACCGACTGAGGCGATATAATCTTTTATCAGAGTTATCGACTTTAAAATAAAATATAATATATACAGGGTGTTATGTAATTAATGTTATATATTAAAATACTGAATACCTTTTGACATAAGGAATAAAGGAAAAATATTTAAAAAAAACATTTTTCCAAAGATAAAGAAAAAAAAATATGCATTAGAAGTTTTTTATATTTTTTGTGATACGTCACTGGTTACACACTTGGTTTATCTCTGCACACTTGTATTTTGTGAGTACATTGATACCAACCAACAAAGTAGCTATGCGTTGCCAGATGTAAAAAATTGTTACTAAAAATTTTTCTTGCAAAAAATAAATAAAAACTCAATAAATACAAAAGTTTTATGCCCTTAAAGCTCTAATACCCTTCTGTATTTATTTACTGATCCAGCTATTAGCTTAAGCAATGATTAGAAAATTTAGTACCTTTGAAATTTGAAATCCATAACCACAAAATTAATTTTTTCATCAGTTTTTTCTCTGTTTACTCAGATGAAATTGGGACCAGTTCACAGGTTAAACTTTAAACATTTAATTTGTGTAAATAAATCCAAAAGCACTTCCCTTAGTTAAGATATTTACAATTTGAAAACATAACCTAAAATTTAAAAGAAATGCACTAGATTCTGTCATAAAAGTTGGCAGATTTTGTTTAAATTTACCTTCAGTACAAAAATGACATAACCAACAATTAATAAAAACGCTAAATTGACAATTTGCATTGTTAATTTTGTCATTTTTGTAATTAAGCTAAATTTAAACAATGTTTGTCAACTTTTTTGAGAGATTTTGGAAACACTGTTGTTACCAACCATAACATAATAAATCCACCAGATTAACCTAAAGTTCCTAGTCGATCAGTGGCGTACTTTTTGGTAGGATAAAGGTTATTATAAATTATTTTTAGACTTTGAAATTTAGAAAAAAAAAGTTTCAGGTGCTTCTTTATAGACCCTAAGGAACAACCCATTTTAATATATAACATTAATTACATAACACCCTGTAAATAAACATAAACAAATATATATACAAATTCATTGTTTTATTTAATCTATAATTGAACAAATTTATTGAACACAAATACCTTTTTTATAGTAAATAAAATAAAATGGAAAAAAAAATTGAGTTAATAATTATTTTTTCTTTAAATAATTTTTAAGACATAAAAAAAGTCGTCAGATTAATAAAATAAAAGTCATAATTTCATACATTTGCAACTTCAGAACTGCTCTATGAAAAAATTCAATTTCCTACCAAAATAATTTTTCAGTTCGTTTTTACAATGCTCAAATGTCAAGCTACAAAAATAAGAAAAAAGAATTTTTTTTCCATGTTATTTAAATAGAAAATGGAAAGTTAGGAACAGGCACCACTTAATGTTAATATTAAGAGCTCAAATTTTTAGAGGCTTCTTTTTTCACCTTCCTGAAAGTTTTTAGCCTGTTTTTTAGTTTAAAAAAAAAGTTGCTCAAAAATGACACACCCTAGGGTATATATCTTTTTTGCGTGTTATGCCAAACGCTTGCTTTATTAAAAGAAGCGATTTTTGGCTAACCCTGTATATACTAAATGATGTGCACAGTATAAAAAGTATTTTCCAAATCTCCTTAACAATATACTCCAATATTATAAATTATATAATATTATAAAATTTCTACGTTTCCAAAAAATACCATAGAAAAATAATTTAATTGGGAGAAACACAGAGATGTCGCCACGAGTGTTTATTCCGTCACCCGATGATAGAATAATTCATACTGTAATACTTTAAGGAATATATGTCCTCCACATTAAGAAGTGATATTAGAACGGTAATATTCCTAATTAGGAGTAGAAAAAATAGTTCGGTATTTCTAGAATAATTCATTTAATTAAATTAAAACCTCAATTGACTTCTTATTTAAAATTCAAATTAAATTAACTTAATATGGATTTATTCATAAATTTAAACTGTATTCGGTATCTTCTACACTGATTTATTAGAATAATTTAGATTAA